CAACATGGAAATTGGCAAACAAGACAGATCGGGGTCTTCCCCTCACTTTGGAGACCTAGTTTTAAAGTATTTACCAGCACACTGCTGGTTATTGGGATATTTCATTCTGCCTTGCTGCAGCTCCTGAGAGTAGGAAGGCTTATGTCACACTAACTTCCAAAGCCCATTGAGGGGAAGGCTTCTGGCAGCCAGATTATGGACTACTGGCCTGTTTTTTGTTTTTTGTTTTTGCACTACTGGGGTTTGAACTCACAACTTACACCTTGAGCCATTCTACCAGTCCTTTTTTGTGATAGGTTTTTTTCAAGAAAGGGTCTTGCCAACTATTTTGCCCAGGCTGGCTTCGAACCTCGATCCTCTTGATCTCTGCCTCCTGAGTAGCTAGGATTACAGGGTGAGCCACAGGTGCCTGGCTCCTAGCCTATTAATATGACCCAAATTCTTTCCTTTTCCCAGGCCCTTCCATACTTTGATCGGCTAGACTATGTGTCCATGATGTGTAATGAACAGGCCTATTCACTAGCTGTGGAGAAGTTGCTAAACATCCAGCCTCCTCCCCGAGCACAGTGGATCCGAGGTATGTTCCATCCCTTTATTCCTGCTGCCTCCACTGAGCATAGCACAGTGTCATCCCCATTTTAGGAGCATCGAACCCAAAGCAGCCCAGACTGCTCTTGAGGATGGATCCTTAGCTGCTGTATCCTTCTCTTCTTGTTTTCATCTCTCCACAGTGATGTTTGGAGAAATCACACGGATTTTGAACCATATCTTGGCTGTGACCTCACATGCCCTGGACATTGGGGCCATGACCCCCTTCTTCTGGATGTTTGAAGAAAGGGAGAAGGTATGAGAGGAAGGCAAGGATAAGAATAGGGAAGGAAGTATAGAAAGAGACTATGAAGGAGGCAAAACATTAAAAGGAAAGAGAACATTTAGGGGAGAAGGTATATTTCTCCTGGGTTATAGGAGCTTTGCATCAGGATGGTTTGCTTGGATACAAGAAGGCAGAAAGTGTGGTAGTGGGCCACCAGGGGCCCAGACTTTGTCACTAATTCCCAGTGTGTCCTATCAAGATGTTTGAGTTCTACGAGCGAGTATCTGGAGCACGAATGCATGCTGCTTATGTCCGACCAGGAGGAGTGCACCAGGTGAGTAGATACCCCTGCCTCTCTTCTAGTCTAGACCTCTTTCCTCTGTGGCCACTGGAGGGCAGTGCCAGCTAATGGAAACTAACCCTGTGTTCTTGGGAGAAGGGATGCTGAGCTGGCTCTTTAGTGAAGACTATACTCAGGATAACTTCCGTTTGGTTTGTAGGACCTACCCCTTGGGCTTATGGATGACATTTATGAGTTTTCTAAGAATTTCTCTCTTCGGATTGATGAGGTGGAAGAGGTAAGGTAGAAGTCAATTAAAAAATCCTTTTTTGGGCTAGGGTATACCTCAAGAAGTAGAGCACTTGTAAGAAGTTCTGGGTTCAGTCCCCAGCACCCCAAAAAAAAAATAAAAAAAGGAAGAAAGGAAAAATCTACCTTCCAAAAGGGCTTATGAGGTTTTCATTCCCAGTTATAAAGAAATACAGATGTATTCAAAGATTGTTGTTGTTTTCTCCTTTTATTTTATCGTTTTTACATTTACTTACATGTGTATACTACATTGTTTGTGCCACCTCTCCTCCACTCCCCTCAAAGATTGTTTTGACAGGTATTGTTACACAGTTTTTGTGATCAATAGATGCTGACTAACAATAGGATCTGGCGAAATCGGACGATCGACATTGGAGTTGTAACAGCAGAAGATGCACTTAACTATGGATTTAGGTGGGAGAATGCAACTTCTTTTCTTAAGGGTAGGGATGGAAGTTACAGCCCAATATCTTGACTTTTAAGAATGTTTGGCATCCCCCTTGCCATGCCCTTAGTTTTTATACCATACCCATGGAGCGAGGGAGGGAAAGTGGAGGAAAAGTGGAGAGTAAGGAAGAATGTGCACACTTTCTTGGTTTGTAGAGAGTAGCCCCTATGTGTGTTACACCCTACAGTGGAGTGATGCTCCGAGGCTCAGGCATCCAGTGGGACCTACGGAAGACCCAGCCCTATGATGTTTATGACCAGGTGGAATTTGATGTTCCTATTGGTTCTCGAGGAGACTGCTATGATAGGTAAGGGCCAAATCCTTTCTCAGCTTATTAGCCAGCTCATTTCCCTGCCTATTATTTCTTTTTGCTACTTGTTCTTTTCTCTACTTCCTAATATATGTGGGAGCTCATGTAATGTGTTAAACTAGGTTGCTTGGGGTTGGGGTGTAGCTCAGTTGTAGAGCATTTACCAGGCCTTGGATTTTATCTCCAGCACCTCAAGAGGAAAAAAAAAAAAAAGTTGCACACATATGGCATTTTATGTTACCCTTAAATCATCCCTGTCCAGATAGAATTAGTTTGGGCTACATTTTACAGCTGAGAAAGCTGAAGCATGAAAGTTTAGGAATTAGCCTGTTAGTGGTAGAGGGTTGAGATTAGAATCAGCCTGATCCAGTGCTCTTTCCACTAGATTGTAAGCTTCAAATTCCACTCCTGTTTACTGACCCTGAGTAAGATTTGCTACTGTTGTTCTTTTTGTTTGTTTTTCCATTTACTCCCCATTCTGTAGTACAAAAAATTGTTTAAGAGGGTAAAGAGGGAAATTACTACAGGCCATGGTCTGAGAAAATAAGTCCAAAATAAGGACTTAATAGTAGAATCAAAATACTGCTGAGTTTATATGGGCAGACAAGCCAAGCAGAGATGCTGTACTAGGAGAAAGGAGTAAGGAATGTTTACTGAACTCCTTTGAGGTCAGCCAAAGGGAATCTTCCCAGCCCCATACCTGTTCCTCTGTCTGCTCTTGTTCTATATCATCCACTTCAGGTACCTGTGTCGGGTAGAGGAGATGCGCCAGTCTCTTCGAATCATCTCACAGTGTCTGAACAAGATGCCTCCTGGGGAGATCAAGGTTGATGATGCCAAAGTGTCTCCACCTAAGCGAGCAGAGATGAAGGTTGGCATTAGGGAGAGGGAAGGAAGGGGGGTGGGGATTTTGGAAAGGAACCAGTGGCCAGGGAGGAGTGTCCTTGGATTAAATCCTACCTTTCAGTTTTCCTTTTTCAAAGAATTCACTGTATAGTAGAACACCTGCCTAGCAAGACTGAAGGCCTGAGTTCAACCTCACCCCCACCCAGTACTGCCAAAAAAAGAATTCATAAGATTCTGTACCTCTCATAGCTCTCCTCCTTTTATTGAGTCTCTCTGCTTACTGACTTCCATGTGGATTTTTAGTTTCCCTGAGGGTAGAGATTACTTTCTGTGCTGGGACAGTGTTGGATCTGGTTTCCTGATTCTCCCTTTTCCCTCTCCTCAGACTTCCATGGAGTCACTAATTCATCACTTTAAGCTGTACACTGAAGGCTACCAAGTTCCTCCAGGAGCCACATACACTGCTATTGAAGCTCCTAAGGTAAGAAGAGGAAGGGAAGGAAAAGACTGTACCTGTGTAGAGTGGATGGCTAGAAGTAGACATTCAACAAAATGCTTGCTATACTGGTGATGAGAGGACATGAGGATAGATAAAGAGGCTTTGTTGACAGAGAAGAGTGTTCTTCCCATTAATCCGTCATCTATCCTTTTTTGAACAGGGAGAATTTGGGGTGTACCTAGTGTCTGATGGCAGCAGCCGCCCTTATCGGTGCAAGATCAAGGCTCCTGGTTTTGCTCACCTGGTAAGAAACAATTCCAACGACTTTAATTCTAATATTAATCCAATAACTTATTGACCTTGGTTGAGGGACTTTTGTTTTTGTTTTTGTTTGTTTATGCTTTTGTTTTTTTGAGGCAGTGTCTCTGTGTAGCCCTGACTTCAAACTCAAGATCCATTTGCCACAGTTTCCCAAGTGCTAGTACTACAGGTGTAACCTCTATGCCTGGCTCTTGGTTGAGATTGTATTAGCTCTTCTGCCTGCTCCCACCTGCAAATATGTGCTAACACTGTTGCTGTCCTTATTTCCCCAGGCTGGTTTGGATTTGTTGTCTAAGGGACACATGTTGGCGGATGTCGTTGCCATCCTAGGTATGAGGCTTCTTGTGTAGTAGTAGACAAGGAATTTGGGGCTCTGGTTGGGGACAGAAGCTAAACACTTCTGTTCAGCACAGACTGTGTCATGGACTCAAGGCCTCAATATCTGGGACATAATAATAAGTTCCAGATCTTTGGTAACATCTTTTTTTTTTCTATCCTCTGACCTTCTAGGTACCCAAGATATTGTGTTTGGAGAAGTAGATCGGTGAGCAGGGGACAGCATTTGGTCTCCCTACCTATCATCTTCCTCTACAGAGCCTGTGCTCGTTGGAAATGTGGTTATATGTTTGTTTATGTGTGTGTACATTTAGCTGTACAGGCTTTCTGTGCATGTACTAGAAAAGGAGAGATTATAATAAATTTGCCGTTGGCGGCACCTATGTACCAATTTCTGGTATGTTTTTATATTTTAATGTCCTTCACTTTGTATTTCTTTGTTAAACTTAAGTCTTAGCAATTTTTCCTGCCCTTCTCCACACTCTCCCCCACCCCACTCTTGTTCTTGTCCTTTACACTTCTCCATTCCTCATTTCCCTTTTTCCCTCTGCCTAAACCTTAGTGTCTACACAAATTGGTTAAACTCCTCAAGTAAAGACTGTATAAAGTTCCAGGTAGGAAGGCTATAATGGGGTCCAAGGGATTCTTGAGGGGCAATTTATAATTTATCACAGATGTATCTCTGACCATGTAAGAATGAAAGATGGCAGACATAGACGGACTTTACCAAGCCATGAGAATCTCCTCATTTTGTGGGGTAGGAGGTTGGTCAATACAGGGCTGAAGCTTAAGAGCCCAGATCTCCCAGCTCCCCTAGTTGGCCCTTCCGGGAGCCGCCCGGTCTCTAGTGCAGGAAGGGGAAGGGGCCAAAGCGTGGGGGAAGGCGTGGCAGGAAGGGGGGAACTCTGTGGTCAGGGAACTGCTAGTCGAGCACAGCTGCGCAGTACGGTCAGAGCGTTGGATCCCCAGCTCAAGGCCCCTCAGCCCCCTGCCCAAGATGATTCCAGCAGTGGTCTTGCTCTTACTCCTGTTGGTTGAACAAGCAGGTGAGATTGTTTGGCGAGGGTCAGTGAGCTAGGTTCCAGGGTGGGAACCAAGGGCAAGTTTCGGAGAACTGAGTCAGGGACAGAAAGGGGAAGGCTGATGGTGGGCAGGTGACCCTGGGCTGAGGTAGACACACTTTGAGGCTGTCCAGCCCTCACCTAGGACACTTGGCAGGGTTCCCACCTTTTGTGTCCCTTTCCTAACCCCTTCCAGACTGACTCCAAGATTGATACAAAGTGTCAGGTTTGGCAGTGGAAGAGAGTGTTTATGCAGCATGATGATCTGGTCTGGGAAAACTCCATTTCTCCTGATGAGCATTACCAGGGGGGTGCCTTTTGTTGACTTGCTAGAAGCTGATCTCTAGCTAGTTAACTATACAAAATCCCCTTCATGAGGGCAGAGACTGGTCCTTAGGTTTGGGAGTGAGGCAAGGGGAGTCAAGATAAAGATATATGACTGCTGTTTCTGGGGTCATTACTACGACGCCATTCTGTCAGCAATTGATAGAAGGGTAGGCAGTATGAAGTGCTGGGTCCTAGAGACCTGAGCATCAGCAGAGAAATAGAGACAGAAATGGGAAGGTTCCAGCAGCTCTGTAGTCTTAAGAACTGTAGATTTTGCTATCTTTGGGTTGTGTGTGCTGCCAGGGTGTTTGTGTGTTTTGAAGAGGACTGGTGGCAGCTGGGTACTGGGGAAGAAGGGGTTGGTAAACTTCAGGGAAATTGAAAGAGATCGAAGGAGAGGAGTTCCCCCAGCTGGTATGAGAAGGTAGAGAAAGTATTAAGCCAGCTGGTTTTCTGTTGCCATGGGATGAGGAGGGAGGCCAGACACTGGGGCATAAAAGAAAGCACAGAATTTGGAGGCAGAAAATCTGAATTTGAGTTCCAGCTTTTTTCTTAACTCTTGCCCTGAATGGGTTACTTAGTTGTTCCGAGCGCCTGGATTTTGTCATCCATAAAATGGCGATGATAATGTTTCCCTGACGGGGTAGTTTTGAGATTTAGCAATATCGTGTGTGAGAGTGTTGTAGAATAAAAAGTAACTTACCAATGTCGGTAATTGACCCTTGTTAGTCACATGTACCCTATCAGTCCTAATACTGGCCCAGAACAGTTTCTGAAGTTCAGGCCCTATGTGATTTTTTAAAATTGCACAAAACTTCCCCTCCCAGAGGCCCAGGATGAGTAACAGGGCAGAGTAGCAGGAGGAGGAATCCGTTCTTTGGATTTAGTTTGTGATTATTCCCTTGAGGCATGATCATTGCTCCTGCTTTGTGTACAGAGCTGAGGATACCCCTATGGCCTAGGAAAGTGGACACTCTGTGCCTTTTTTGCATGTTTAAGTGTCTTGTGGGACAGAAAGCAATGAGGCTGAGAAGATGACCAATAATAGAGAAATTGCCTTCCCTCCCTTCCCCAGCTCAACATCCTTCCTGTCCAGCCCTCAGCCACAGGTCACAGGACTTAGCAGAGACATTCTGTGGTTTCTTCACTGAAATTTGCTGCTGCCTTTCTCCCCACAACCCCTCAGGGCTGAGGTTTTGGTCTCAGCCCAGTGAACTCAGACGGGTACTTGAGGTGCTCAATGGTGCCCAAGGAGCCACAGTGTTGAAAAGAAAGGGTTGGGCCTGAGGGGGATGTCTTCAACTCTCAGTACGCATAAATCCCACCACAACAGGACCCCTGTTATCCTGCTCCTGCCCTAGCGGGGAGCAAAAGGAAATATAAGAGAAGTGAGTCCAGAGTGAGAGATCTGTCTCCTTTCCTTAAGAGGGCTTCCTTTCAGATCCTGTCCTACCCCTAGAACCGTTTCCCTTCTCTCCTCCGAGTACCAACTCCCTTTCCTCACGCCCCTGACCCCATGGGCACCCTCTTATCCCCTCAGCGGCCCTAGGAGAGCCTCAGCTCTGCTATATTCTGGATGCCATCCTGTTTTTGTATGGTATTGTCCTTACCCTGCTCTACTGTCGACTCAAGGTAAGGCAGGGTGGGGGTGAGGGCAGGAAGAAGAAGTGGGAGGCTGGTGGCACTGTGTAGGAAGGGGAAGAAAAAGGGTTCTCCTACAAAGTTTGGAGGGAAGATAGATGGGACTTTAACTTTCCCTTTACTGATTACCTTTCCCCCATTCCAGGTTCAGGTGCGAAAGGCAGCTATAGCCAGCTGTGAGGTATGAACTCTTCCACACCTGAATGTCAACAATTTTTTAGGCTCTCAACCCTTCTGGGGCTCTAGTCTTGAGGCCTCTGGAGAGTATATGTCTTGGATGTGCTGATCTGCATACAGCTGGGAGGCCCCTCTCTCACCTCACACTGTACACCCTGCCACCTAGCCAAGCCACAAGTAAAATATCTAGCAGGTGATGGAAAAGAATCAAGCACAGGGTGATAATGAATACATGAGAGAGTTACGTGTTTTGCGTTGATGTGTGTTTGTAGCTGTGTGGACAAATGCATATTCATGTCCCAGAGAAACCATACGAGGACTCTGTAGCCTAAGACAGCTAACACTAACCCTAACCCAAATACTGCTTGCCTGGGTGGGAAAAAAGATACTGAGAGGCCTTCAAAGAGGTGTGGGTCTCTAATGTCTTGCCCCTTCCATCTCTGCAGAAGTCAGATGGCATTTACACGGTGAGTGAACCTGCTTTCCCTAAGTAGGGATCAGTAGAAGAGGGTGGGGTTTGGTGTGACCTTTGAAAGGGGCGGAGTCTGTAGGGTGGATGGGGGCTCTGCGATGGCCTCAAGCTCCTGATCATCCTTTACCTCCATCTTTAGGGCCTGAGCACCCGGACCCAGGAGACTTACGAGACTCTGAAGCATGAGAAACCACCCCAGTAGCCTTAGAACAAATGTCCTGATCACATCCTTCTTCGGTTTCTGGGTCTCCTCCCAACCCTCATGGTTGGTATCACATGTGCCTCTATTCTATTAATGCCAGCTGACCTTATCCCTACAATGGTGACAGGCTCCAAATTAATATACACAAGCTGTTCCTCCTCCCATAAAGACTTACGCCCAAATGCTATTCCCTGATGTTTATTTTCTCATCTCACTCACTTGCCCCAAGTTTTTTTCCCTTCCCTATCCCCAGACTCCCACTAAACAATGGAAAGGAAATACCCCCAATAAAGCTGCCATAGACTAGACTATATTCATTTGTTCATTTCTCGTGTATTTTTTCGGCCTCTATTAAGCACTCAGCTGGATACTGAAGATATAGTTTTGAGCAAGGCAAACTCACTTCCTAATGTCACATAACTCACTGTCCAATGGACTTCAGGGCTACTTTGATGGATTGAGGATAAACAGGGTGTGGTGGCCCAGGCCTACAATTCTAGCTACTTGGGAGGTGGAGATCAGGAGGATCACAGTTTGAGGCCAGCCCCAGCAAAAAGTTACTAAGATCCCAGCTCGACCAATAAAAAGCTATGGTGGCACATGCCTGTCATCTCAGCAGTAAGTGTTAATAGGAGAATCATGGTTCAGGCTGGCCCAGGCATAAAAATGAGATCTATTCAAAAAATAACTAAAGCAAAAAAGGCTGGGGGCATGGCTCAAGTGGTAGAGTGCCTGCCTAGCAAGTATACAGCCCTGAGTTCAAACTCCAGTACCAGAAAAAAAAATTGAGGGATGAATGGACTGCGTCTGGGGGAGGGATGAGACCCTTGGCCCCTTTGTGCTCTGGGAGTATATTTCCTACACTCCCACTTTGTTTTGAGAGTGTAGGCACATTTGGGGACATTAGAACCTACAAAATGATTTGCATACCCAATGTTGCCGTCTGTGTCTGACAAATAAACTAAGGTTCGGTTGTAGGGGAGCTCATCAGTCTAATCCCAAATAGTCACCAATCCAGCTATCACTGATCCCGCACCTGCATATGGGCATTAACATAGCTGAAAAGCCAAACATAGGGAAGGGACAAGGAAGGGATGCTATGACAAAGGACATATGAAGCCCCTAGTGGAAGGTTTTATGAGAATGGTCAGTTTTCAGGGGATTCCAGGGCAAGAGGAACCTTAGCGAGAGAGGACCAGATAGGGGTTGGAGGTATGTAAAACAAAGGGGAACAAGCTGGGTCCAGATAGGGAGTCATCTTCCCCAAGCACATGAGAGGGTGGCCAAGAAATCCCTGTCAGTGCCTGTCTGTTTCCAGAGCTGCCAGAAAGCTGTGCCTGGAAGCATTTAAACCTGCTAAAATGCTGAGTTCTTCCTCTGACCCAGCAGTCTTTCCAGAATGGGTCTAGAGTCTCCAAGATGACCCCGGGTAAACCCCTGTGCTGGGGATTTTTGTCCTGCATAGTGATTTACACTTTCAAACTGTTTTTCAGCTAGTTGGACCATTTGACCAACTGACTAACCCCCAGAAGAAAGTCAGGCTCTTTGAAATTAATTAAATTGAGATGGTGACGGAAAACTAACCAAGATACATTGTAATCCTACAAGGAAATCACAAGGAATCCCCCCTGTACAACTAATATATGCTAATAAAAATGCTTTGGTAAAAGAAAAGAACAAAAACAAAAATCTGACCAAGGTCACCTTGCAAGTAATGACAGAGGTCTCTTTGCCTCTGCACATTTTGCCACAGAGAAAAAAAGATGTTTTGAAAGAAAAGGGGAAAAGAATGATGATCATGAATGGTGAGGGTCTTAGCAAAGAAGTAATTCAGATGAGATATAAAAAATGAGACCCAGTAGGGAAGTAACTGTTTAAAAGTGGAGAGCTGGGGCTATATGCTTCGTAAGTGTATTTGGTATTGCAAATAAAGCAGGAATAAATTTTTATTGGAGAATGACTCATTTTCCTCTCAATCTTCATCAACCCAGCCAGATTTCCATTTTGTTTTTATTTAATCCAGTTATCACACAGCTCCCAACCTTTCCCTAGTCCCACAGGTCTGCCAAGTTAGAAACCTGCCAGGCCTTTATTGTTTTTTTTTTTTTAATTTTTATTTTATTCATATGTACATACCCTGCCAGGCCTTTAAATGGCTACCTTGGCTATTACTTTCAGGCTCTAAGATGGCTATCAGGCAAATTCTATGACTAGCTCCTGGATAATGGTGGGTGAGGGGGCTTGGAATGGGTCTTCCCCAACAGGGTCCAAATCAGAGGTGTTTGACTTTTTTGTTTTATTTTGGTTTTTGGTGGGAGTGGGGTTTGAACTCAGGGCTTCATGCTTGCAGTAAGTGCTCCACTGCTTGAGTCACACCTCCAGTCCATTTTGCTCTGATCATTTTGAAGATGGGGGGGTGTTTCATGAACTATTCGCCCTGACTGGCCTTGAACCTTGATCCTCCCAATCTCAGCCTCTCAAGTAGCTATGCTAGGCTGCCCAGGCTGACTTCAAACTTCTGAGCTCAACTGATCCTCCTGCCTCAACTTCCCCAACTGCTGGGACTATAGACATGCACCACCACAACCAGCCAAATCAGAGGTTTTGAATGGAGGAACTAGAGCACTTCTGGGGCAAGGAATGAACCCCAGTTCTCTTTTATTGTGGGATGAACAGAGTGTCCCCCTGGTTCACCAGGAAAAAGAAGGTCTTGGGTCACATCACTGGGTTTTTTTTTTTTTTTCTTTTTTCCTCTTCATAGAATGATTAGGAGGAAATTCTGAGGGGTGTCCTCATTTCTGGTGACTTCCAGAAGTCTAGGGATTCAGTTTATGAACCTATCATTTCTTTCATAGTTTCATGTCCTGCAGGGAATCTCCACATACAGGAGACTTCTTGGGTTTGGGGAGAAATCACAACACCCCTGCTCTGTCATTTCCATCATTTGTCTCTTCAACCCTCTCTTCCCCCTCCACGCCAAAACCCTTCTCCTTTTTCAAGCAGATTTATCTTTTCCTTCCTCCTACTCCTCCCCCACTCAGCTACTTCTCCCAGTCACTCAAACACACAGGCTCACAGTTTGACTTCTTCCAAATTTATTGTAGAAAATAAAGAGTAGGTAGGGAGAGGAACTCTAGGCCTGGCCAGTGGGTTGAAAGACAATGATCTGGACACCTCACTGGGTGGCAGGCTCTGTTTTTTGAGGTTCACGATGTTACTCAAGAAGTTCATCAGATCAGTTCCAGCCTTCTTGACCAGGGGTGTCAGCTGCTCATCAAAGTAAGCTCTGCATGGGGGAGGGGTCAGAGGTCAGTGTGAAGGATTCTAGTCATTGGAAGGGGCTTTGTGAGTGGTGGGAGGTCAGAGCAGGATGACCCAAGTCCCATTACTGCAGATCCTGCTCCATCCAGCATGGCAAAGCCCCTAGGAACAAGCAAGCCCTCCGTGGGATAGAGGAATAAACTTTACAGATTGAAATTTGAGGTACAATTCCTTCTGCCCCTCTCAGTCTAAGAGGTACATGAGATCTTTGGGTGATGGAGGAATTTTTTTCTCCAATTGAAGTCTAATGCTCCTTAGTCCCTACACCTGAGCTCAGTCTCCTGCAAGACTTCCTATCTTCCCTCCCTTCTCTGCACAGTCTCATAGCTCCTGAACCTTTTTCCCTGGGACTTACTTACTTGGCCTGGGCGTGAAGCTCTGGGCCCTTGGCTTTCTCCACCAGGTCCTTGCCATAGTCGGTCATGGTCTGGACGTACTGAGTGAACAGGCTCTGCAGACTCTGCTCCTCTGCCTGTCTCCGAACCAAAGCCCCTGCATACACACACACACACACACACACACACACACACACACACGTACATTCTTTTCAGTTGCGTCCCCAGCAATGAATCCTGGCCTTCTATTACACCTCTACCAGTATCCATCCCAGCTCTCAGCCCCCTCACCAAATAGCTATCCAGCTAGGTTTTTGGATGGGTTTTCTGAACTTTAGAGAGGGGAATGATCTTTCTTTTGAAACCTCTAGTTACTAGATCTGGGGATAGAAGCAGAAGATAATGGATAGCCAGGATCCCCAGTACCTTTCTTCTTTGGGCCCCCTGTCCATATCACACTTACCTTCAAGGCTACAGATGGTGATGAGCAGCAGAGTCATTACAAGCATCTTCATGGTAGAAAAGTAGCCTAGGAACAGTGCTGGTGGCAGGGAAGGACATTGAAGCCAAGTGGGCTTCACTCCCCAGGGAACCCCATCTGGAGTCCCACTCCAATCTGGTTCCCTTCCTCCCCACAATTAAAGCCCCATCCTCTTTATATGCCACCCACACCTTTTGCTCACCCATCATACCTAGTCAGTGTCTCTGTCTGTGGCGTCTGTTCCTGGCCTGGCTGGAGAGGCAGGGGTTATATACCTGTTCACTTCCCCACCCCGTCAGGTGATATAGACTGTGGGGATGTCCCATGGGGCAGGAATCACGTTGGAGTAAATAAGTTGGAGAAATGGGGGAGGAAAGGACAATTAATGGGGGACTAATGTGATGGGGGTAACAAGCAGGGTTATAGGTCTTAATGGAGGCCAAGAGGTTACACTTCAGATCTGTTTAAGATTTATTCTTTTGAGATCTGGGGTTGGAGTCTTTGGATTTGTATATAGCAGGGAAGCAGGATTCCTAGTTATGATATGAAGACATCAGATTTTGGTATCTTTATCTCATGAGTAGATTTCATCTCCCTACCTCCCTTCATGGCAACTTGGCAAAGAGGTATTTAGGAACAAAAGAAAGGGAAAAGGAGTTGAAATCAGGGCAGCAGTGAAGGGATGGGGGCTACGATACTAAGGGTCAGGGTCAGAGGACAGGTGTGATTGACTCTGTCCCTTTTTGAGTTAATGTGTAATGAGAAAGGGGAGAGAAAACATGAGAGCTCAGAATCAATCATCCTCCTGGGTACTGATCAATGACCATACCCTACCTCCAATAAAACAAATTTAGAAAACAGCCTCTGCCCTCTCCCTTCCAACTGGAGAACTCTAGCAGGAAAAGAGGTGAGTAAGGCTTCTGTCAGGATAAAGGTTGAAGGTATCTGGTCATTTGACCACCTTATCAGTTCTCAGCAGTGGTCAGCCAATATTGAATCAGGAAGGGCAACAGTACTCCTGTGGCCAAGGTCCTGGCCCTTGTCCTAGCTCTAATTATGAGGAAGGGCAGAGGCACATTCCCTAGGCCCCAAAGCATTTGGATGGAATTAACTAAGTAGATATCAGAAGCATTTGTATATTTCACCTTTTGCCCTCAAAGCTTACTCTTTATGTACTGGAACATTCCTGAGAAATGGGGGTGGAAGTGTGGGAGCTAGTGAGGGAGATAGCAACCAAAGACTAAGAAACAGTATTCTATTTTCAGTAATTCCCCAGTGGAGCTGGCATTGCTCTATTGCTTGCCCATGGCCTTGGGGTAGAGGGCATTTGTGGGGAGCTGGAATCCTATTCCTAGATTTTATTTGCCCATTCTGCCTGGAGACTCAGAGAAGGAAGGGTTAATTACCGAGGGCAGCTGTTTTGGGAAATAGTTCTGTCCACAACCTGCTCCTCTACACCAAACTCTTGCACCCATTCCTATTCCATCATGACGGCGAACTCTGACAGGGCTGGTGTGGGGTCTGTGTCCTAGAGGAGAGCTGTGCTTGTAAGTAGTAGTCATTTGGAGGTGTACTGTGAGGGCTGTGAGCTTTTCCCCAAAGGCTCTATGGAGGGGAGGCGGGGATAATACAGTCACCCTTCACAAAACTGCAAGTCTCCAGGCTGTAGTTTCACTTTCCTCTTGGGTGGTGGAGAAGCTTCAGTGATCCAAAGGACAAAATGCTCCCTCTAGTGTCTGGTAGGGTCAGAAGTTTATCCTGTCCTTGGAGAGGCCGGGAGATGTAGGAGGGAAGGCCTTCTGCTCGCCACCTATCAAGCCCCACTTGCCACTGCAGCGCCAGATTGAAGCGCTTGGGTCGTCAGGCCTGCCACTCTTTTGTGTTCTCTTCTTCCATTGGTCATGGGAGATCGAGGCGTCTTTTTTTCATCGATTAGGCGGGGCCCAATCAAGGGAGGCTGGGTCTTTGATAGCTTCCCTTGCCCGGTCCCAAGATGGCGCTCATAGCAACGCTGAGAATGCAGTATGAAGCCGCATTCTGCCATTACTCAAGATGGCTGCCCCCATCAAGATGACCGGGGTGTGCCGGAGGGAAAGGGGCAGCAGGACCATCTGAGATGGTAAGGGCAACTGTTCCATTGTGGACCTGGCCTTGGGCTGTGGGAACAAAGAATAGAGAGACTAGGAAGCTAGGTGGAGCCTGTGGTGGGGGCTAGGATTGGATAACGGGAGAGAGGACTGGGTGACAGGTGGGGATGAGGGATCAAAGATGGGGTGAGAGTGTGACTGGGGTTCAATCTTTCCATCGGTGTTCTCTCCCCCAACTCTTCCTATTCCAGGTCTAGCATTGGACCATGTGGAAGTTTCTGAAACTGGGGAGTCTGATGATGGGCGGTGGGGCCTTTGGGGGGTAGAGGGAGCAATAGAGTGTTTTCCCAGGCTCATCCCGGCCCCTCCCTATACTCTGGACTAAAATGGGGAATACACTGGGCCTTGCACCAATGGGGACTTTTCCCCGCCGGAGTCCCCGCCGAGAGGAGCCTCTGCCCAACCCTGGGAGCTTCGATGAGCTGCACCGACTATGCAAAGGTGAGAACTTGGCATTTGGGTGGTTCTTGTGGAAGGGGCAGAGGAGGGGAGGGTCTTGAATGCAGATGTCCAGTGATGGGAGCAGAAAGGGGGAGATCACAGCTGGGGCATCCCATGTCAGGGAGGGTCAGGTGTCCAAATGAAGTGGAGCATTTCCATGCAGGACTTGAAAGGAGGTCATTTCCTCCCGTGCTTCGTATGGGATTGAAAGGGGAGACTACCTCTTTGGGTAGGGATTCCTTGTCTGTGCTTATTCCTTCCCTTCCCCCACCCCTTCAGATGTATTCCCAGCACAGATGGAGGGAGTGAAGCTCATTGTCAACAAGGTTCTGAGCAGCCATTTCCAGGTGCTCCCACTTCTCTGGCCCCTCCTTACTACTTCTCCCTGCCTGTTCTGGATCCTCTTCTTTCCTTTGTATTCCACCCTCGGCCAGGCTATGTGGGACAAATGAGGGAGGATGTGGGGCTTTCTTTACTTTCCTTGCCTGTGGGACTTGCTTTAAATCTGGTGACCTTCTGCATATGTTGGAATATTAGGGAGTCTTAAAAGGCCCCCTGAATGGGGAGAAGATGAAGGGTGGGATGAGAGATTGAAATGAAGCAGGAATTCCCTTTTCCTCCAATGATTCTTCTTTCTTCAGGTGGCCCACACTGTGCACATGAGTGCCCTGGCTTTGCCGGGTTATCATCTCCATGCAGCCTATGCAGGGGACTGGCAGCTTAGCCCCACTGAGGTGAGAGCTCCAAAACACCTGAGTCAACTTCCTAAAAGCCCACCTTGGTCTTGAGGAGAGAAGGAAGTGTGTGTGTCATGGGGAAGAATGGGCAGTAATCTAATTCTCTTGTCACGTTGTGTGTGTATGTGTGTGAGACTGGGGTTTGAACTCAAGAGTTTTGCGCTTACAAAGCAGGCGCTCTACTGCTTGAGCCACGCCTCCAGTCCATTGTGCTCTGGTTATTTTGGAGATGGGCCTCTTGAACTATTTGCCTGGGCTGGCCTCGAACCGTGATCCTCCCAATCTCAGCCTCCCAAGTAGCTAGGATTGCAAGGGTGAGCCACCACACTGGGCTTCCTTCTATGTCAGTTCTTAATGGGAGAGGGTAGAGAAACACTTCTGGGTAAAGATGCCAGAGTTTGTCTTTGTGCCTCCACCAGGGGGCGCCAGGTAATGTTAATGAAATCCCATAGTACTTGAGTTCAGGCTGAATGATATTACCCAATTCAGCCTTATTGTCCACACTCCTCAACAGGTGTTCCCTACTGTGGTTGGCGATATGGACAGCAGTGGCAGTCTCAACGCCCAGGTCCTGCTTCTGTTGGCAGAGCGGCTTCGAGCTAAGGCTGTCTTCCAGGTGACCTACAGTTTCTGCCTCCATCCACTGGGCAACTTCTCTTTCTCCTCCATGAATATCCTGACCTGGGGACGCAAAGGGGAGGAGCTGGGGCAATTGTGATCATAAACAGAGGGAAGGAGATTTTACTTCTTGTTCTCTCCCCCAGACACAGCAGGCCAAGTTCCTTACATGGCAGTTTGATGGCGAATATCGAGGAGATGACTATACAGCTACTCTGACCCTAGGAAATCCTGACCTGATTGGGGAATCAGGTGAGGAATTGGGACAATCTTTTGATCTTTGCTGCCCATTTGCTAATGTTGCCATGTCTCTCATTTCTGTACAGTTTGGGGATTAGGAAAGGAACTTCTGGGCTGGTAGAGTGGGTTAAGCAGTAAGAGTGCCTGCCTAGCAAGTGTGAGGCCCTGAATTTGAATCTCAGTGTTGCCAAAAACAAACAAAAAAACCACTTTAGAACAGGAACTTCTTGGGCAGGCTCAGGTGGGATAACTGTGGGTGAAGTAGTAGGCCTCATTCTTGGTTCTATGACTAACTCCATGTTCTCCCACTCCCCCACAGTGATTATGGTCGCTCACTTCCTGCAGAGCCTCACTCATCGGCTGGTGCTGGGAGGGGAGCTAGTTTATCACCGAGGGGGCCATCTTGACTCTGGCTGGAAAGTACTCTGGTATGGGACGTGATGAGGAAGAGCAGTTCTGGGCTTTTCTGGGGATCCTGGTCTGTGTCCTACCATGTTCCGAACCGTAACATTCCGTTCTCCCCATACTTTGTTTTTTTCCAGCTGTACACTGGGTAGCTACATTGAATGTGGGATCAGGAGGGGCCCATGCAAGTTATTACCACAAGGCAAATGAACAGGTAAGACTGCTCTGTTCATCCTCTACTCTAGCAGGTCAGTCACAAACTTTTGCCCCTCCAGTTCTCCCTAGGCTGTGCTGGCCTAGTATTCTTTCTACCCACAATAGGTATACATTTTCATGCATGACTTCATTCTATTGACCCTGTCTCAGAACCTCTCTAATTCTTGGCTGCTTTTTTTTTTTTTTTGGTGGTCCTGGGGTTTGAACTCAGCCTCATGCTTGCTAGGCAGGTGTTCTACCACTGAGCCACACCCACAGCCCTAGGATCTCTCTAGTCGTCACTGAGACTGATCCCCCTCTCATCCTTGTCCATGTGTCTCAGGTTCAAGTTGGAGTGGAATTTGAGGCAAATACAAGATTACAAGACACAACCTTCTCTTTTGGTTACCATCTGACTCTGCCCCAGGCCAACATGGTATTTAGAGGTGAGGGTTATTGTGATGATATTTGGAAGTGGTGAGGGATTTGGGGATAGAGGGAGGAAAGCTCTACTTCTGCTGACTCCTTACTCCAAACCCTGTTAAACAACCTAGTCAATATTCTCCTTCCTGGCAGGCTTGGTGGACAGTAATTGGTGTGTGGGTGCTGTGCTGGAGAAGAAGATGCCCCCGCTTCCTGTCACCCTAGCCCTCGGAGCTTTCCTCAATCACTGGCGCAACAGATTCCATTGTGGCTTCAGCATCACTGTGGGCTGAGGTTGTCCAAGAACCAGCCCCCCACAGCAGCTGGAACCTCTGAGTCAGGTGCCCTAGGGCCAGACACTAGGCCCCTCTCCAAAGCCCACTTTGCTGGGTGACCTTTAGGTCCCAGGCGCAGAGTGGGGTCAGAACTATGTCCTCCTCGGAACTGGAGCTGCCTCAGGGTCAGCTGATGAGGCGGTGGTTTGAGGCTCCCACTTCTGCCAGCTGCACTATCATCTTACACATGTTCTTGTGGTTCTGGACTAAGAAGGATGAAGGGGTGGGTATGTCTGGCTGAATTTCCTCCCTCACTTCCTTCTTTGTTTTCCATGGATTAAAGCTCCTAGCCCCTTCCTCCTTAGAGCAGAAAAGTCTGCATGGGATTAGCTACCCATCCTATTTTCTCATCCCAGAGCCTACCAACGATGAGAAAGTAGGGTTGAAGGGCTAAATCTTTGGCCTTAGCAAGTGGGGCCCACCCATTCCCAGAAGGAGTTTTACCTCTTAACCCTGAGGCTTCCTCCTTCCCCATCTTCTGTGCTTCCAGAGAACAACTTTGTCCCCACAAACATCCCCAACTCGCCCATGACCGCATGAGAGGCAGTTATTGCTTTAGTCTTTCATTACAATCACTGAACTCCATTCCTACTGGTCCCAATATCTGGTGCCAGCAACTTTTCCTTTCTAGTCCAGTGTGTCGCAGGTGGGCTGGGGAAGAGGCAAGTATGGGCCTCAGCTGCAGATCTCTTGGAGCAGAGGCATCATAGCAGATAGTCCCTGGATGCGCTGGATTTGGTACAAGTATGCACTGTTAAGGCTCCGGAGCTCAGCCAACAGGCCCATCAGCTTTGCATACAGAAACCTTTGGAGGAAGTAGTGGAGTCATCATGGAAAGAGGAGAGAAATAAGGCAGCCAAGGCCTAATCCTCTGAACTCAGTGAAGATATGTCTGAACATTAGAAAAAAAATCATGCCCTGGTATGACAAATTTATTGAAAAGCTCAAAGATCCCCCAAGGGGACATGTGTCTGATACCTATGCCCAGTTTTTCCTGAACCTAGAGCTCTGAAGGCCATATCTGAAGAAAGTTCCAGACTTGGCTGGAACTTTCAACTATGTAGAACCTGAGGGTCGACCCTTCTAGAGAAAATTCTAGAAGGTAGGTGTGTACTTTTCTAGCAAAGTAGCTCATTGAGGATTGAGCATGAACAAAAGTGGTGCATACCTCAGAGCTTGGATAGATAATGGACTATTGAATCAGGACTGGTTCTGGCCGTGAAACTGTGAGTAACCATAGTTTCAAGAGAAAAGAAAAATTCAAGGAATTGGCTCAGTGGAGAGGGGAGGAAAGGCCAAAGAAGAAGCGTGTACAAGACACTTAACAGTTTTTAGTCTGGAGAAGTTGGAGTGGTTAGGTGATGGATATCATCAATTCTCAGGAATGCTAGTAGGCAGAGCCTGTGAGCTACTACTTTGCATCTCTACTGAATAAAAAAATCTGAAAAATGTGAGACACAAAACAGCAATAAGAGCAATTTGGATACCAGAACTATGTGTGATGCGCATGGCCAGAGGGAAGGATCAGATACCCCAGAGACTTGGTTTCCCAAAGGAAAAGAAAGTAAAAGACGTTCATCCTGAACTCAGTGTTTCCTTAGCCCCTTCCTTGCCCAGTGCAGCCCCAACCTCCAGTCTCCTACCTACCGACTTTGGGGCCTTGGCTTCTGTTCCTTGATATAGTTCTCCAGAGTCAGTGCCATGTCTTCTTGCAGTTGATCAATCTCTTTTCTCTGGGTAACTCCAGGCCGGTCTATGAGATAAGGAGCTGGGAAGGACAAGGTTGAGGGGACAGAGGGAGACCTACATAGTGTCCAGGGGATGAGGATGGTATAGACCCACTCTGTAGGCTAAGATGACCAGGGATGGCTGGATTCAAAGGGCTGAGAGTTTGGGGCAGAGGTGGCGAGGCTAGAGTTTCTAGGCTTGGGAGATGCTCACCAGGAGAGAAGAGGGCCGTGGCAGCCATGAGCACATACTCGGGTTCCTGGAGTTGCAGTCGTTTCAGCGTCCCATGGAAGCGAAACAAAATCTCCAAAAATTCTACCTGGAAACCTACTGTGGGCGATATTAGGTTCAGGATCCTCTACATCCCACACCACAAGGACACTCACCCTCCACTGCTTTAGCACCATCTCACCATGGACTCCATCTTCCATTGTGTAGCGAAGAGGCCCACAGAGGAAGTTTTGTGTTTGGAGACAGAAAGTGGTATTGAGTGCGATATGACATATTTCCACAGCAGCTCCTTTGAGAAGGTAGATTTGATCCTCCATAGGCAGGGATCTGTGGGGAACAGGGAACAAGGGCACTTTAGAATGAAGCCTGAACTTCAGGGAGGATAAGGAACTCCTGGTTCCTTAAGAACAAAGCTGGTCATTCAAGACCTGTGCTTGGAAAGGCTGAGGAGTGTGCTAATTTGATCATTGACTTTTTTTTTTGAAGGGGGGAGGGGAGCTTTGTGTATAAGTTATGAAGTATTTGCTTCCTGAAAGATGAAGGAAAGCCACTCACCGGAAAAGGGGCAGATCCTTGGTGAACTTGATAATTTGCTGTACCATGAAAGTGTTGATATCGGCAAAGTGTGCAAGCAGAGGTGGCACAGGAGCCCATGGGGGCAAGGGCTGGTGATGACTGAACAGGTGAGCTGGAGGCTACAGAGATCAGAGCATGAGCTAAAGGCCCTGGCTCTATAGCTCTTGTTTAGGCCTTCTGTTGGGAAGGTTCTGCCCAAGAAGACCTGTTCTCTATTGGTACATGGCCCACAGCCCTTTCCCTCAGACCACCTCCTTGGGCACCATTTTGGTTACTTTCCAGCTCAAATCCTATAAGTGCTCACCCTGAACTGCACAAACTGGTCAAACATGGTGCTCACATGGCGAGTGTGGGCCCCCAGGAGGATCTGGACCAGCTCTTTCTGCTCCTTACTAAGTTGTATAGGTGTTTGCTGGGCTCGCCGCTGTGCCTGCCTTGCTCGGCGCAATGCCAGGGCATCTGCTGACAGTATCACTGTGTCAGGGAAGAGATATGACAAAGCTATTGAAACCAACAGAGAAGACCTTTCTGCCAGTCCCTGTTCAGAGTGGATTTTTAGCCACTCTGTACAAGGAAGAATTGGGGGAAACAGGAGAGTTCCTGAGCTTCCTTGAACTTGGCTAAACACCTAGAGGCTGCAGGTGGCAGGGGATTCCTGCACACTTTCACGAGAAAGAGAGAGAAAAGCACAGGTGTAAGATGTTTGGCTTCTGGGGTAACATTGAGGAAGGTTTTATTTTATTTATTTATTTATTTATTTTGGTATTATTGGGGCTTGAGTTCGGTGATATAGACTCAACTTAAATCAACACTGCTCCATACTGCAAAGTAGTGTGATACCATGGAAAAAGCAGGGGCTTGGAAGTCAGACAGGCTTGATTTTGAAAAATGACTCTACAACTTTTTACTTGACAACTTGGGCAAGTTAACTTCTGTAAGTTAGCCCCAATTACATCATTTGTTGGGAGCATGGCACAGTTAGCTGGCACAAAAAAGCATTAATTAATTAATTCAATAATTATTGAGTACCTAGTAGTTGATAGGCACTACACTCAAGAAATAGAAGAGAAAAACCAGGCCATATGAATCTCAATCTCTCAGATAGAGAGACTTGCAAATGCAAAAGTCTAGGGAAGAGTGTGCTTGGTGTGTTCAAGGATAGTATTGCAGTCAGTGTGGTTGGTGTGGATTGAGCAAGGGAGAGTTAAGAAATTAAGTCTGCAAAGGGGTGAGCAGGAGCTAGTCCTGAGATCACGTACTTTGGTGGCTCACGCCTATAATCCTTGTATTTGGGAGACAGATTGGAAGGATCTCGGTTTGAGGCTAGACCGGGCGAATAGTTTGCAAGACCCCCACCTCCAAAATAATCAGAGCAAAATGGACTGGAAGTGTGGCTGAAGTGGCAGAGTACCTATTTGGCAAGCATAAAGCCCAGTCCCACTAAAAAAAAATGAGAGAGAGGGAGAGATGAGGAGTTATTAGAGGTTCTGAGCAGAATAGTGACATAATCTGACTAGCTTCAAAAAGTTTACTCTGCCTGCTATGTGAAAATGGCTATTGGGAATAAAGAGAAAGCAAAAAGACAGAATCAACAGATTCTTGGGATGATAGGGGGGCCAACTCACTGTCTTTTCTCATGCCAGCATTTATACACTTCCGTAATCTGCAGGCTGGGCAGTGGCGCCTCTGGGTCTTGCTGACCTCACAGCTTCCAGCAAAGGAGCAGGTGGGACCAGTGCTTTTATTAACTGTTCGTCTATGTGAGAAAAAGACATTACTAGGATCTATGGCAGCAAACAGGTAGGTGGGTGTGTGGGGTATGTTAGGGTTAAGAGGGTAGAGTCTAAAAGATTTGGGAATCTAGTGATGTGGGCTAACCTGAGCTGTGCCCAAAGGTCCTCAGGGTTGGATCAAGCATAATACATCTCTCTTCAGGGTTGGATCAAGCATAATACATCTCAAGCATTTTCATGAGGACACAGGACCACTCGAGAACCCTGGTTGATGCAGTATTCGCTTGCTGCTTTGCAGATCATGGGCTGTGTCCATGGCCCTCTCTGTTAAGCCACCAGTTAATGTGTGTTGTGGTCAGTAAGAGGTAGGGTGCCAGCCTTATGGTAACCAGACTCAGCCACAGGAGGAATAGAGTGGGGCATGTTTGGGCAAGTGCCAGGTTTTAAAAACTGACTGATTAGAGCTGGAGAGGATTGTTTTTATTGGGAATAAAACTCTCACCTGAAGAAACCTTTGCAGCCCTCACAAGTCAGGGCATGGAAATGGTAGCCTGTGGCTCGGTCCCCACACACCACACAATTCCTTGGTTCATCTTCCCCACTGCTCATGGCTTCAGATGTTAGGGTGCACATCAAAGACCCCTGAATGTAGAAAGAGTTAGCAGTCAGATCTGCACCACACTTGACCCTCTTCTCTCCCTCCTTCAGAGCCTCTTTCTAAACCTGCCCTGCATCTGGTCCCAGTGTTGTCTATACTAGAACAAGAAAGTTGCTTTTAGTCTCTGGCCCCCAGCAGATTTTCCTACCTGCTCCTCCTAGGCAGCATGCCCTGTGCAGGCCACAGAATCTGTGAGGGTTGCCTCTTCCCAAGCTCCCACACTGACCCTGCTTTTCTTGTGATCTTAAGAGCTCTAGGAGTTAGAGGTTATGGCTCTCAGTAGCTGGAATGCAGGGATGTCTGTTGTATGTAGCTCCAGGTATTCTCAGTCCCCTATGTGGGTAGAGCACAGACTCTGGACTCAGGGCAAAGACCTGGATGGGAGGTTTTTCCAGCATGCCCAAGGTCCTGGTTGGTGGCACATGGGGAGGCACTGGTGGGCGGGGACCTAATGATTCATTAGAAACAACTCCTTACCAGACTAAAGAGGTTCTACCTACTTCCGAGTTTCAGGCTAGATCTGTACCTCCACTGTACATGGATCCTAGATAAGGTGGGGAGAGACAGAGCAGACTTTTTCACATGCAGTATGTGGGTAGTAAAAGAATAGGTGTAAGTTAGGTTCCAGTGGCTCAAGCCTATAATCCTAGATACTTGAGAGGCTGAGATTTGGAGGATTGAGGTTTGAGGCCAGCTCGGACAAATAGTTTGTGAAGCTTGTCTCCAAAATAACCAGAGCAAAATAGGCTGGAGGTATGGCTCAAATGGTAGAGTGTCTGCTTTGCAAGCGTAAAACACTGAGTTCAAAATCTGGGTCCCATAAAAAAAAAATACAAATTAAAAAAAACCCAAACCAAAACCCAAAACCACTTTAAAATTAGGAGTCATGGGCTGCAGATATGGCTCAAGTGGTAGAGCACTTGTCCAACAACAAGTAGAAGGCCTTAACACCCTGAGTTCAAACCCAATACCGCAAAAAAAAAAAAAAAAAGATAAAATTGGGAGGTAATTAAGCCCTATGGATAGAAGGGGTCCCATTTCCTTACTAGGATGGCTGAGAATTAAATTTAATAAATTACAGGTAGTTGAGATTGATTCAGGATCTCTTGCACCAGAGCTGGCTTTCTGGGTGTATGACCTGTGCAGTTGCTTAAGGCCCTGTCTTTCTCCCCTGAAGCTCATTGCTATGCTGTTGCTATCTTGAAATAATGACTACTTCTCTTCTTTCTTTCTTTTTTTTTTTTTTTGGTGGGACTGGGGGTTTGAACTTAGGGCTTCATGCTTGTAAAACAGGCACTCACAAAACAGGTACTCTGCTGCTTGAACCATGCCTCCAGTTCCTTTTGCTTTGGTTGGGTCTCGAAAACTATTTGAGTAAGCTGGCCTTGAACTATTATCCTCGGGATCTGAGCCTCTCAAATATTACAGGTGTGAGACACTGGTTCCTGACTGAAATGACTTTTTTTTTTTTTTTTTTTTGTGACACTGGGCTTTGAACTCAGGGTCTCATGCTTGCTAGGCAAGCACTCCACCACCTGAGTCACTCCACCAGCCCCTTTTGTGTGTTCGATATTTTTGAGTTAAGGTCTCTTGAACTATTTGCCCAGGCTGGCTTCAAACCGAAATCCTCCTGAGTAGCTAGGATTATAGACATGAGCCACTGATGCTCAACTTGAAATTACTTTTTAACAAGGGGCTCGTGTTTTCATTTTTCAGTGGAATTTAAAAATATCTAACATGTCTAGAGTCTAGTTTAAGGATTTCTAATTAATAAATTCCGTAATCTGGAGTCTTCATGGGTTATCTAATACATGCATCATCATTGAAGAATATTTGTGTGTGTGTGTGTGTGTGTGTGTGTGTACTTTCCCAACATCTATGAGCAGAAAAAGTAATTTCAAAATCTATTAGACTATTTTGGGGATGGGCAATATGCTGGATGGACCTGCTTCACACAAACTGGAATAAAGTCCAAAGTCATGCTCTTCCAATTTTAAAGGTTCATTTTCCATTGATCTCCTGGGTACTTCCTCTAGAAATAAGCATTTCTTTTCCTCCCCTTTCCTTTCTTCCCCTCTCCTCTCCTTTCCTTTCTCTTCTTTTTTCTTTTCCTGTCAAATTTTCTGTTTCTTCAGTTAAGAGTTAAATTAGGGCTGGTGGAGTGGCTCAAGTGATAGAGTGCCTGCCTAGCAAGCATGAGGCCCTGAGTTTAAAACCCCAGTACTGCCAAAAAAAAAAAAAAAGTTAAATTAAAATTAATATTTCTTTAAAGATTAGTTAAAAACCCTCAAATGCAGGGGTTTTAACACACACGTACATGCACACACACACACACACACACACACACACACACACACACACGGGTCAAGAAAGGCAGGTAGAGAAAACCGAGTTAAAAAGAGCCTCATGTAGGCTCCCAGAATGAGTTGGTAGATCACTTAATATTTTTTAAATTTGGCTTTGATTTTGCTCTTTTGATGGTACTGGGGTTTGAACTCAGAGCCTGATGCTTGCCAGGCAGGGATTCTACCACTTGAGCCACTCTGCTAGCCCTTTTTCTGTGATGTGATGAGTATTTTCAAGATAGAGTCTCTTGAACTATTTGCCCCTGGCTGGTTTAGAACAATGATCCTCCTAATCTCTGCCTCCTAAGTAACTAGGATTACAGACATGAGACACTGGCACCTGGCCCTGTTTTGTTTTTTCCAGATAGGGTCTCATTATGTAATCCAGGCTGTCCTGGAACCCATGATCTTCCTGCCACTGCCTCCTGAGTGTTGGGATTACGGTTATGCAACATCACATCCATTGGATCTTTGATCTTAAGTGATACAACATCCAACTGTGTACACTTTTGCATGTTGTAATAAGCTGAGTTTCAGAGAGTATAGGGGCATGTGTCTGGTCCTTGGGAGGTGGTGAATATATTTGTGTGTGTGTGTGTATTGTCTTTGTTGAAGTGTGACTGCAAGAATTCACAGTAATTCATTCAATCGATACAAACTGACGGAGAACCTGTTATGTGTAAGATACTTGGAACAAAAAGGAATAAGATGCTCTCCTTCCTTCATGAGGTTTAAACACTAGTGGGGAGATAGATCTTTAAACAGACATAAAAGTCAATGATGGTGCTGTATGCAGGGCATTATGGGACAAAAGAGGGGCCTCAAATCCTGGCTTGACAAAGGGATGTTACTTTCTATCACATTCAAGAAAAAAAATCTGTGCTCAAGTGGTAAGAACACCTGCCTTGCAAGCATGAGGCCCTGAGTTCGAACTCCAGTGCTGCCAAAAAGGAAAAAAAAAATCCCATCTCTTTAGCATGTCACACAAAGTCTTCTTAGAATTTTGGCAACTGAGTTGATTTTTAAAAGATAATAAAGAATTAGTCAGGGGGACATAAAAAACAATCTAAGCAGAGGATGCAACATGAGAAGTTTAAGAAGCCAGATACAAAAAAGGTAGAGACACAAATGGGTCTCTCTTGCTGGGCTTAACAATTCATGCTGAGAGTGGGAAGAGATAAGGCTAGAGAGATGAGAGATGAGGCCCAGATGTAGGCAGAGTCAGATCACTAAGCAGTTTGAATCCATCAAGAATCTTTTTTTTTTTTTTTTTTGCCAGGACTGATGCTTGAAATCAGGGGTTTGCTTTTACAGAGCAGGTGCTCTACTGCTTGAGCCACACCTCCAGTCCAAGGAACCTTTTTTTGAGACAGGGTCATGCTATATAGCCCAGGCTACCCTCCCAAGTGCTGGGGTTACAGGTGTGTCCAACATTCTTAGTCTTTTTTTTTTTTTTGGTGGGACTGGGATTTGAACTCAGGGCTTCATGATTGCAAAGCAGTTACTCTATTACTTGAGCCACACCTCCAGTCCATTTTACTCTGGTTATTTTGGAGATGAGGTCTAGCAAATTATTTGCCCATTTGACCTTGAATCTTGGTTCTCCCGATCTCAGCCTCCCAAGTAGCTAGGATTACAGGTGTGAGCTCTTGTGCCAGAAACACTCCCAGCTTTTAAAGGGTAAGGTAAAAAATGACATGGCCTGATCTGTGTTGTAGCTAGTTTTCTCTCTTGAAGGTGGATTTGAGGAGGCAGGGCTGGAGGCAAAGACACCAGTTAGAAAGTTATTGTGATAATGTAGGTTAGAGTAGATTAACTCAGGACAGATTAGCTCTTGATAGGGGTAGGGTGTAGAGGAGGAGAGAGTTTTGAGAAATATAGGAGAAGTGAAATCATTGGAATTATTAGAAAGTCTGGTTAGAGAAAGAGAAGTTACAGGTGACTCCATGTTTCTGGCATGGATGATTAAGCAGATTGTGATAACAGGAACTGGGTAAAAGGCTACTGTAGGTCAAAGGTCCTCGGTACTTGGGCCACAATCTACTTCTACTGTTGACAATTTAACAATAAATGATCAAGTGTTCATTCTGTGGTTAGGCATCAGGAGAAGGGACCAAAGAGAGAATCCCTGTTACAAAGAAATTTACTGTCTAATTATGGAGACTAAATAAATAAATTGAACTGTTAGATCTTTTAGCAAGGATTTATTTTAGTATAACAGGACAAAGTATAGACAAAGCAGGGTGTGGGGAAGAGGGGAAGAAAAAAAGAGGGAGAAACATTTCCTGTTCTGCCCTCAGGAAATGGGAGCAAAAACTCCAGATCTTTTGTTCTCTTTGGGGGATACTAGGCTTTGAACTCAGGGCCTTGCAGTTGCTAGTCACTTGCTCTACCACTTGAGCCATGCCTTTAGTCCCTTTTGCCTTAGATTACTTTTAAGGTAGGATCTCAAACTTTTTGCCTGGAGCCAGCCTTGGACCAGAGCAAAATCATCTTACCTCCATCTCTACCATAACTGGGATTACAAGTGTGTACCACTATGCCTGGCTTTTGAACTATTAAATCTTTTTTTTTTCTTTTCTGCTGGAGGAGAATAGTTTTTACTATCTTCATGTACAGAGACCACAGCATTACACGTTTAACCCAGTTTAGTAGCCAGATCTTTAGCCTTTGCCTTTTCCAGCTTGGCAATTCAAGCCACAGATTTTAGAACAGGACATTGCCTCTCCAGTGATGGCGGATCCTCATTATATCTGTCGTTGTAATTGGTCCTGATAGCCTCCACCAGCTTAGCCAGAGCTCCTTTGTCTTCTGAATTAACCTGTGTGAAGGCAACAGTGGTGTACATCTTCCTGTGGACTAACCATCCCAGCCTGGCCTTCCCTTTGATGTAGTAGGGGACTCCTGTCTTGTGACAAAGGGCAGGCAGGAATACAACCAGCTCAACAGGATCCACCTCATGTGCAATCACCACCAGCTGAGCCTTCTTGTTCTCCACCAAGGTAGTGACAATGTTGACCTCTGCTCGAAGGACCAGTGATCTCTTAGTGGG